AGAAGTGTTCCCTTGTAAAGCTCCAACGTGCTGGGTTACTGTCCAGGAAATCCACCGTCTCCTTAGAAGCACTCACCATAAATATCTTTAAACGGCAGCGAATAGTTTTTTTTAGCAATGAACCGCATGCAAGAAAAATATCCCAATCGCCAAATCCGAGAGCTTTGTTTGACCCCTTAATGTTCCCTCCTTTTTCTGTTCGGTTTAGATCGTTTGGCAAATACATTGAATGTGAGCCCAAAATTCAATGACAAAGAGTTGACATGGCTTGAGTAGGCCATACATAATAGATTTCAAGATATTTTTTTCCATGGTCGTAGGTTACATAATTTATCAGCGTTGGATGAACATTAGTTGGCAAGTTGATTCAGTTTGTTGCCGTTCGATTAATGCTGAAGATTCTAGTTGTCCGACATAATTCAATGTGGATTTTAGTTGTTCGATTCTTTGCAAAGTTCTGAATTGAAAGATAGATTTAGTGTTAAACAAAAAATAGAAAGGGAGGAAGTCATGGGGCAGGTTGTGGTGATTAGTAGTGAAGAAGTTGTGGAGGTGAAATCTGACAGTTTTGTCTATGGGGAGTTTGAAGGGAAGAAGAGGATGAAGTGAAGTTGTTTCTATGGGGAAATGGTGAAACAGGAAAGGTTTTTTTTTCCTACGATGGCTTTGAGGGTTTTGTTGATCGAAGCTAATGATTTAACCAGGCAAATTATAGTTGTTGTTCTCAAGAAATGCAATTATAGAGGTTACATTTCGACTTCACCCTTAATGCTTTTCTCATCTTAAATTACGGTTAAGGATGTGTCGGCGGGAACAAATTTGATTGATTCCTTTTGATTTAAACAGAAAATTATATTAAATTATTGACTGATGTTTCTTGAGATAGGCATGAAAGTATGAAAAAGATACGAGTAAACAAAAAGAATAAAGTGGATTGAATCTTTCTTTTAGTCTTTTCTTTTAGAAGGGTTAATGTCAGATATATGACAGCAATGATCATATGTAATTTGACTTAAATAAGATGATTATAATTGTTGAAGTTTTATTATAGAACTGTTGTCATCTGAGAAGTATGAGATTCTGAATAAATCGTGGACAGAGATATTAGTTTTCGATGATAATTTTGGACTGGGGCCAACGCGTTAGGATTAGTGGGGCCATGACTAGAAATGATAAACGAGTATAATTTTGTGGATTTCGTACCGTATTCGTTTCAATTGGGGCAGGGATAGATATAACTTTAATAGGTAGTGGACGGGTGTGGATTTAAAAAGTGGTATCTGTCGCGGGTAGTGGGCGGGTTATGGGTTTGAGACCTTACCCGCCCTGCATCCGCCCTCCACTAAATAGCCATTAAATTTTGGACTATTATAAATTTAACTATAATTTTAGGATTTGTCATATGTGTGCCAAAGAACAAAAATATTATGTATTTGTCATTTATGTTTCTAGGCTTTAATTATGTTTTTTATTATGGTGTTCTATGTACTTTAAGATCTATGCTAACACTTAACTTAGATAATCCTTGATTTATTTTATTATGTTTTTTAATGGACATATTTTTTTTATGTTTATTGCTTATGCATAACTTAAGGTTGCTGCCATGCAAGTCTAGTCGGGTACGTCTCTAATTGGGTAGTAGGTGTGGGGATGGATTTGAGAATGTACCCGCGTAGGTGGGTGTGGATTTGAAAAATTGTACCTATTATGGGTGGTGGGCGGGTGGTAGATTTAAAAATATTAGGTCGATATGGGGATAAGGGAGGGGTATCCGCACCCGACTCGTCCGTTTATCATCCCTAGCCATGATCCTCCCAAAATTTGAAAAATTATAATTTAAATCCTTACAGTTAAAAAAAATTAATTCGGTCCTCACAAAATTTTTAAAAAATTTAGATTAAGCTTTAAAATTTTTAATGTTCTTAACTAAACCCCTCTCATAATTTGAAAAAAAATTCTCATTAAGTCTCTCACATTTTAAATTTTTTAATTAGACCCAACTTTTTTAAAGAAAATATAAACTGAACCCTTCAAAAATGTTAAAAATTTTAATTTAAACCTCTAATTTTTTTTTTAAGTTTTAAGTTACCCAAAATCTATGGCCAAGATTCGCCATTGTTTTTGGAGATATAACATGGTTTTGATTTAATGGAAGGAAAAGAGAGATTCTTTTCTCATGGTTTTAATTGCTTCAGCTCTGCTGGGTGGTTTTGCTTTAGTATGATATTTGTGTCCAGCTTACTATATCTAAGCTTATATTTTTACTTTTTCCCGACCTTGAGTATTGCGTGTTAGTTTCGTTTCAAATAAGAAATTAATTAGAATTATATGATGTTTAATGCTACATTTAGAACTGAAAATAATGTGTTTCACCCGCTTTTGAGCAGTTTCTGCTGTTCCTGATGGCTTCAAGGCATGGGAGATGCTGAAAGGAAAACCCCATAAGGTTGATCTCATTTTGACCGAAGATGATCTGCCATCTATATCTGGATTTGCACTTCTTTCACTGATCATGGAGCATGAGATTTGTAAAGGCATCGCTGTTATAAGTATGACTTCCGTACTGTTCCTGCTGGGATTTTCTCCATGACAAAGTGATTTAAACAAAAATTCCATTTTTATTTGACATGATTTTGCAGTGATGTCCTCACAAGATTCAATTAGCACAGTATACAAATGCATGTTGAGAGGCGCTGCTGATTACCTTGTTAAGCCAAAAAGGAGAAATGAGCTGAGAAATTTATGGCAGCATGTATGGAGAAGACAACCGATATGTTTACTTTTTACAGTTCCTTTGTCGCTGTAATTTTCCTTTTTCTCTGATCCTGTTTTGTTTAAATCAGTCTATAGTTGGCGGAAACTTCCCCGGCGGTGAGAGCATCGGATACAAACAGGTTGAAGTTACCTCTGAAAATGATGCAGCAGGGAAAGCTGAGAGTGCCGACATAGAAACTATGCAGGAAGTTTCCGACATTATAAAGGAAAGCTCTCAACCAAAGGAACTGCAGATGCACGGAGCTGGTTATGCCATTGTTAATTCACCAAGAGAAATTATTGACTTCATGGGAACATTTAATAGGAATTGCAGTGTTTGTTCAATTAATAATTCAAGCAAGTTTGATTCTTCTCCACACTTGGATCTTTCCTTGAGAAGACATAATCATAACTTTTTCAAGAACAATGTTACTCGAGAAGGGCCTATTCTCTGGCATCCAAATTCATCAGCTTTTACAATGTTAGTTTCTTTTGTATTTGCCTTGTCATCTTGAAATTTCAGCACAAAAACTTTTGAAGTGTTTTAGGACAAATTGATTGAATTCTTTTGCACGTCTCAAATATGGTAATTTCGTATTTATGTTGCTTATCATACAAATGATCCTTAATACAGGTACACTAGCTGATTATCACAGCCCTTGCATTCAACATTGACAAGTATCAGTAAGCAAAATAAAGAATCCGGGACTAATTCCGAGACGCTGTTGTCCGAGTACAATGCTGATACTCCTAGTCCCACACCAACTTCTCAAAGAAGCATGATTCCATTGACTACTGCAGCTACTGATGAATCGGAGCAAACGGAAGTAGCCGCATCGTGCATGGAACAGAGACTATTTCCTGTGCCAGTATCATCGAGGGATGTAAGATCGAGTAGCCAGTGTGACGGTCATAATTCTGTAATTTCTTCAATCTATTGCGCTCAGTCAAGTTCATCCCCAACACCAATACCAAGCTCAGCCAAGCAACAGGAACCTGCCTTTCATGTGAATCTTTTCCATCATTCTAATTTCGGAACTAATTCCTTCGAACAGTTTTATGACCGACTTGCCTCCGGTACAAATCAGTCAACAAACAAACGTTTGTATAAGCCGGATCAGAAGTTGGATTCAATTGAGGATAAATGTCATATTTCTCTTTCCAATAATCAAAGTGGAACCAGCAGTTTCTATAATGGATCCTTAAGTCAACATAATGGTATTGCATACGGGAGCACTGGTGTAAATAACAATGTGGATCAGGTTGCTACTGTCCAAGCTTCTACAAAAAGAAAGAATATTAACGATTTTCCGAATCCTACTGGGAATCCACACCACTCTATGGAAAGAGAGGCGGTTCTAACCAAGTTCCGCTTGAAGAGGAAGGATAGATGCTATGAGAAAAAGGTACAGAGTGTCAGAGTTATCATCAGTTGCCATCATCGTGTATTTACATGTTTAATATTTCTTGTTCTCCAAGATACTCATAATGTTGCATTAAAGTAATAAGTAATTTTCTGGTCCTATTCTTCAGATCTCAAAGTAAAATGTATAACCATGAGCAGGTCTCATACACATAGGTTGAGCAACTTAGAAGCAGCTAATATTTCACACTGGATGTTTTTTTTACAGGTACGATACGAGAGCAGGAAGAAACTCGCGGAGCAGCGCCCTAGAGTCAAAGTAGAGTTTCTTCATCGACGGCTGGTTGATTGTCCTTAACAGATACAAGTTGAGTGTCATTATCAGAATTCATCTGATGGCTTAGTTTCAACATAGAGATTTTAGAGTTTGTGATCCAAATTAGTTACAACTATATACGAGTATTTAGAATTTTAAGATTTGATGTACTTTGAGAAATCCTCTTGTATTTGTCGCCAACATAATGAAATTGTCGATTTCTTTAGAAAGGGTGGCACAGGATATTTCAGCCATTTGTTCTCTGAAGTTGAAGAAAAAAGAGGGGGCAAAACACTTGTGGTCCTTATTAACACAGGTTGTTACGTACTTATCAAATAGCATCTTTGAGCTTTTAACGCCTGGTGTTCATTTGGGTTTCGGGTAGTTCTTTCTTTACTAACTTCGTAGGTTTGTCACTCAACCATCTTATATACAAGGTTATCTTAATCTTGATTTTTCATAATATCATTTGTTTCTCTTTATTTTAACCCCAGATTGGAATCCATCAAAGTGTTTTACAAGTAAAATAAGATGTTATTAACCCCAGAGTTGAGGCTTTATGCCTTCCAAAGAAAATAATCAACACTTCGTTTATTAGTCACAGTAAGGTAATGGATACAACATAGGATCTCTTCCGCATAATAAGCTTAAAATTCCGTTCTTATTGTTCTGTCAAACAAAAAAGTAGTAATTCCAGCAAGCCAACCTTTGAGACAGTCACCAAGTCCCAAAATCCAAAAGTAAAACAGTCAAAAGCATGAATCCAACACAGATTCAAACATTTTTGAGAAACTCCATGATGTTGGTGCCGAAAGCATCACATTTTACTTGGAAGCCTTGAAATCCAGCTCCCTTTGCCAGTGCCTCAAACTCTTTTCGGGTCCTCTCTTTCCCACCAGGGTTGTGAGCCAACATGATGCAATCGATATGGACAACTAACTTCGTGGCAAGACTAGAATCTGGGTAATCCGGAAGAATGCATTCCGCAACAATCACTTTTCCGTTGTCCGGCAAAGCTTCATAGCAGTTCTTCAAAAATTTCAAGCAGTGTTCATCGCTCCAATCGTGACATATCCACTATATCAGCACCACGTACATGTCAAGAACATTAATTTTACAAGCTACATTGTGGTAGGTAAAATAGAGGTTCCTTTAATCAGAAGGAGAAGAAGTTGAGAGTTAGTGGGGCACTCACCTTCATGAAAATGGCATCTCCTTTTGGAACACTTACAAACATGTCTCCACCAACATGCTCCACACCTGCAGCCAATCCAATTTCAACAACATGATAAGGAATGATGCAATCTTTAGCTTTTGGAAAAGAGGTATGGATAATGTTATATACCAGGATAACTAGGAGCATCCTCAATGACATGAGGCAAATCAAAATTAATGCCCTTGATGGTGGGGTACTTGGAGACGATCATGCTAAGCGTGGCACCAGTACCACCGCCGACATCGACAAGTGTTTTTAGTCCCTTGAAACCATCATATGCTTCGAGAATCTTCTTCATGGCAATTGTGGAGTGATCAGACATTCCCCTGTTGAAAACTTTGTTGAATCTAGGATCCGTGCCATGGTACTCAAATGCGGACATGCCATAAGCCTTATTGAATGGGATTCCACCTTCCAGCACTGCATCTTTCAAGTAGTACCTGAAAACAATCCAACGTGCAGTCGAATCACAATCCGATATTACTTGGAATTAGGGATGGATCGAAGGGAGAGCAGATGGGGACAGCCGCCTCCTAAAAATCTCAAATTCTTAAATGTTTTAGATATATTTTTGATATTTTCTAGTGATACTCTATTTTCGTCCAATAATATAAAATATAAAATACATGGGACGTCCTTGTCTGAAGTTTATGACAGTTGCATGGAGAAAATGACAAAAAAGAACTCAACCATTCAATTATTTTCCTCATGGAGATTGGAGGATGAACAACCCCACTTGCTCAATAACATGATTGAGGATATTCTCCAACTTAATTAACAATGCTATCGTTTTCAATTTCTATAATTAAATCTAAAAATATGTTGGGTTTTAGGTAAAGCAGCAGCTGTCAAGTCTCACATTCAGGTAAGCAGATAATAAATAGACTAATATATTGTAAACTAAGCATAATCATACTTAAATAAAAAGTTAATGCTACTTAACATCTGATAGGAAATGAAAAGGTGATAAAGTAGTTAATCTTAAAGCATTCAAGAACTGGAGATAAAAATAATAATTTAAGGAGTGGAGATTACCAGCTCTCCATAAGGACCTTGTCCTGATTCATGAGACTGAGGGCGGAAATAGAGACACCATCTTGATTCTTGGTCAAGAATTTGCAGACAGGGCCAAGGCCATAGAGTCTCTCGGCTTTGCCATCGGGAAGATTGCGCAAGGAGCAAGTGAGGATGGAGTAGCTGGCCAGGAGGCGCAAGATGCGGTCAAGCATAACAGGAGCATCAGGATTGGTGGTGGGGAGCTTGGATGCCACTTCTTTTGGGGAGAGGAAAGCACCAGGACCGGCTTTGGCCATGATCTCCAGCAGGTCCAGTTCTATGGCTGATTTGAGGACCATGGGGAGGACTGATGCACTGGCCAGCTGCATGGCGAACAAGTTGGCTTCCTCATCTGACACTTGAGTGGGAGTCATCTGGGTTTCACCGTTTGAACTCATTGTGTGATGCTCTGAATACAAGATTGCAGAGAATGAAGATGCGGGGCGTGGTTGACAACACAAATGGGCTTATATATAATGTTTTGTCCCAACGACCTCGCTCCTTACACCACATTTTCATCTCTACAAGTAAAATATTGACCTCACACCTACGGCGGTAAACGACCTGATTCGAGTCTTAGGGATGTTTGTTTGCCTCTTAATAGAATCATTCAACACTGAATGTTGAAACGTTCAATATTCAGCGTGTTTATTTCGCACCTCTGAATGATTCAGTGCTAACTGATTCAACAAAACAGTGTTGAATGATTCAGCAAAACAGTACTGAATGATTCAGCACATAAGTACATTTTGAATGATTCAGAGCCACTATCAAACAGCATGTTACATAACAGTACTGAATGATTCAGCACATAAGTACATTTTGAATGATTCAGAGTCACTATCAAACAACATGTTACATTCAGAGCTAATGCATACAGAGTCTCTGAATCATTCAGCATTTCAATCATTTAGCGCTTAATCATTCTGGAGTAAACAAACAGCCCATTAGACTCTTAGTATCATTAAGTTTGATTTAATTTTAGAAATTTAAATTAAGTTTGATTTAATTTAAAATTTTATAACTTTAAAATTATCAATTTTGAATCAAATTTGAAATTAAAAATTAAAATTTAATTTGACTTAAAAAAATTTAAGATATCTTTAAACTTAATTCGATTGAAATTCAAATTAAATATATTATTTTTTTCAAAAGAAATATCAAATAACTTACTTCAAATAATTAAAATCACAGATGAAGTTAAACTTAATCTATTTAATTTAAATATTAGCCAAACAATCTAACTCCAAATATCTTTCGTATCACTCAATTACCCCCCCCCCCTCCCCCCGCCCCCACACACGTTCCCAACTACCCACACCCACCGTTCCCTGTCAATTTTCTGTTCATCTTTCAAGGCCACTCTAGCGTTTTATGCTTGGCAGTTTACATGTTTTTCTAAGGTTAATTTCTAATATTTTGACACATGTCCGAACTTATCGTTATATTTTTTTCTTTTTCCTTGGATTAGGGTTATGACAACAGAACGGATCGGGTTAAGATCTAATTTTTGGTTAATTCAAACCGAATTGAAAATATGTATCTTCCACTTGAATCCGACTTGAAAAATATATATTTTTCACCTGATTTCGAACCGACCTGATTTTTTAGAGTATAAATCTGACCTACCAATACCGTATAAATTAAGGATTTAATTAAAATAATAATAATTTTTTTAAGGAAATTATATTATTATCTTCGAATTGAGTCGGGTAGGAATTTTTTCACCCTCTACTAAACTCGATCTGACCCAGCTTCACCTCTTAAAAGATCCGACTCGATCTAAATTCGGAATCTTTTTAAAAAAAATATATGATCCAATCAGATCGGATCAAAACCTGTTGAATATGGGTGAGATTACCATCCCTAATCATGACATTGTAGTTGATATCTTATCGCCTATTGATTCAGCAACTTAGTAAACTAATATTTTACTCTTAAATCAATATTAAATAATTTATATTAGTATTTATTTATTCATATTAATTGATAAAATAATTAATACTTAAGTTAATTTTATGTATTTTTATTTTCAACATTTAAGTTAATTTTATGTATATTTATTTTCAACATTTTAGTTTATATATAATTTATATTTAAGAATAAAATTCAATCATTCATTTAAAGTGAGCAGTGAAATTAGATAGATGGAAATTCCAAAGTTAAAACTGGTTGTATTTAGAGTTACAACAAAGTCAGCATGACCCTGGAGTTTAGGGGATTATCCTTAAGAATATTCCAAAATTTTCTAAGATATGCAAAATGAAGTTGTTTGTAATATTTAAATCAATGATTTAGTTTCAAGTAACCCATTACAGCCTCGCAATTCATCCATTTGAATTTCTATTTTAAAACATTGCACGTTAGATCTACTAACCTAGATGGATAATGAATTGAATTAAATCAAAGGATTATTGATATTGCTTAGACCGCTGGTTACTTCAGTTTTAAGTATAATACTATTGATATTTGATTTATTGATGGATTATTTTGAATTGAGTTTTATAAAAATTTATTACAAAGACGATTTCTAATTCACACCAATCTCAAGATATAAACTCTCAATCTTATTTAAAAATATTATTAATTTAATTATTTACAAAATTAACTTTACAATTTATAAGATACTACAAATTTAATTAATTGTCACATAAATTTTTATTAATAATTAATTGATCTAATTGACAAAATTAATAATCTAATAATCAAAATACAACCTTGTATATTATAATGATTTAGTCCCATAACAACTTCAATCTCAATATTGGTAACACTGCTTTGAATGAAAAAGAAAAAGTGAATTCAAATATCCAACATTCAAGATTTCTTATTTGAATTTGTTTGGAATCCGAAAAAAATTATAATTAAATTAAAATTTTGTTAAAATATAAAAAAAAATTAAAATGATATAAAATATAGAATTCTAAATGAAAATTTAAATATTAGGATTGGAAAATATTTTAATTTACAAAGGATTTAACATTCATATCTCATCATAATGAGCACTTTAATAGCAACCTGGGAAATAATCTAGGTTTCTCTCATTGGTGCGTTGTTCATCTCTTTTCTTTTTCGTCTTTATTAGTTAGCGGCAACATCAATTATAATGTTGATTGTCGAGCGTGATATTTTTATTGTGCTTTTCTTTTTCTTTTTTTATATCACGTCTCTATTTTCTTTCATTTTTTATTTTCAACAAGTTTGCCTTTATGACATATTTTCGTCTATCTTTAAGACACGCTTTCTTCTACCTTTATAACATATTTTCTTCTGTTTTTTGGTATTTTTGTTGTTGTTTGGCTATTATTTATTTATTCTTGAAAGGTTGATTTGACATCGTCACGACTGATTAAGATAACCCTCATCTGATATCTTGTTGATATTCCCTATTTTAGACCATCGGATTGGATTTGGATACCCGTTTTTACGTTCGTGGATAGCTTTTCACATCACTCGAGTCTAATTTGTGGTTTGTCAGTGGTCTTTCAATAGTTCGATTCCCTTTTATGGTTCGTTTACTAATGCGATCAGATATGTTTGTATCTATCTATATTCGAGTTTCTTGGTTAGATTTTTAATCTTTCTTTGTATGGTCATTATGTGATCTTAAGTTGCTAGTTTTATTTCAGTGATTATAGAAATTATCCTAGATTTACGATTATGATTGTAAATATTCACTATAATTTGAGATATTTTCTATTTTGAATAAAATTAGTAGCTTCTTTAAAAAAAACATTCACATCTCATCACAAGTGACAGATCCACGTCGTATTATGTATATTAAAAATTGATTTTAAATATTCAGTGATTATAGAAATTATCTTAGATTTACGATTATGATTGTAAATATTCACTATAATTTGAGATATTTTCTATTTTGAATAAAATTAGTAGCTTCTTTAAAAAAAAACATTCACATCTCATCACAAGTGACAGATCCACGTCGTATTATGTATCTTAAAAACTGATTTTCCTTTGAATAATTATTTATTTTATTTGTTCTTATCTTACAATTTTATTTACACATATAAAAAATTTGTATTGTTATTATACACGTATCCACTTAAAAAGTATTTATGAATGTTGATATCAAAATTAATAAAAAGAAGAAATGGCATTAACATCAAAGCTACTCTGGCAAGACGAATAATCGGAGGTAAGTGGTGGGCTGCTTATATCCCTCTCATCAGAATTCATAAGTAAGGGGTTGTTTATTTACTTCAGAATGATTAAGCACTGAATGATTCAAATATTGAATGATTCAGAGGCTCTGTATGAATTAGCTCTAAATGTGACATGTTGTATGATAATGGCTCTGAATTATTCAGAATGTACTTCTGTGCTGAATCATTCAGCACTGTTCTGCTGAATCAATCAACACTGAATCATTCAGAGGTGCGAAACAAACGTGCTAAATGATGAACGGTTCAGCATTCAACGCTGAATGATTCTATTAAGAGGCAAACAAACAACCCCTAAATCATCATTGCCCATGTTGTAAAATATTATAATATGTACAAAACATGGTTAGCTCAGCTGTTTTGGTCAAACGTTATTGTCCTCACCAAACCCTACAGGCTACAACCTCTCGTTACATAAAGTTCATATATCTACTCTCTCGTTAATGATGGCGACCTCTGAACCTCATTTGCTCATAAATTAGGTTAAATTAGACAAATAATTCAAACGCTAGAATTGCTTTGTGATATAATTACAAAGTCTCTGAAATATTATTTCAAAATCTACCGTAGCATTAATATTATTCAAAAAGTTATAAAGTTGATTAGTACTATTTACAACACAATTAATTTTAAGTAATTATATATGTATATATATGTTCAAAATATAATTCATTCATTTATAAAATAAATCATATATGAAAATAATTAATAAAATCTAATCGAACTAAGAATACAAACAAACACAAATAAGAAAAGATAAACACCGTGATACAAATAACATATGGGAACGACTATAAAAGTCAATGCAAGATAAAAGAACAAATTATATTTAAATTATATTTCTTTTATTAATTTTATGATTATACATCTTAAGTTTTTTAAATTTAAGAAAGTTCCTTAAATCTTAAATAATAAAATTCTTTTATGTATAATTTCATAAATTTCAAAAAAATATATATATAAACTGATAAAATAATAAAAGGATGATGAGACCATAAAAAATATTAAAGAATGACAACTTTTAAAAAACATCTAAAAATAAATAAAAATCTAAATTTAATGAAAAATTATTAAATAATAAAAGTCATATATTTGACTTTTAGATAAATATATATTGATATCAAATTGTCGTGTTATTTGGATGTTAATAATATAAGTATTCAGTGATAACCCTCGATTTTCTCATCCTCGTAAAGAAGCACTGCATTGTGGTTTGACAAGAATTTGTCCAACAAACCTTTGTGATAAAAAAAGAGAATGACAAAATGAACCTATGGAGTCGAATGAAAGTCGTAAGTTTACAGTTGTTACACCAAGTCAAGGAGCCCTCCTGAAGGGGAAGATCAACCAGTCCAACTCATTGACAAAATCCGAGGCAACAAAAAACTTAGGATCCCATAGGCTAATTAGACCTCCAACTGACCTTGATGAGGCGAGAAAGGCACCCCATAAGTACCATTGCTACTCAGCTTCCTAATCAGACCTTGGTTCATTTCAGATAGCTTTGATTCTTTCAGGAAAACAAATTTGGGTTTGTACTTACTGGTTAAATAACAAATTGCCCTCACCTTTTCTGCTCTACCAAAGCCCCTCACATTCCATGTAATAGTTACAAAATTCATTAATAAACGATTAAAAATCCAGAAATTGAAACCTTATCCCGGGGGTTTATAGATTCTGTCGAATTTCATCTTCAATTTTTTTGAATTTTATTTACAACTTCATCTTTCCCACCCTTGAAGGAGATTTCTAGCAGCTTACCAAATTCCCACAGCTTCAGCTTTCACTTTGGATGTATTTTTAGGAGAGAGGACGAACCAGATCAAAAAGGGAGGTGCAAAATGATCATCCTCTAAAGCACCCCTGATACAAACCCGGTATAACCAACCCCCTTTGAGTTGCGTTTAAATTTTTGGTCGAGGGAAAGCCAAAAATGAAGGAGCGATGAGAGTCCTCTAAAGACCTTACAGAAGAGAACCGATAAATATTAACTTTTGATATTAAATATTAACTTTTAGATAAATATATGTCGATATCAAATTGTCTTATTATTTGGATGTTAATAATATAACTATTGAGTGATGAAAAAAAAAAACTTAATGCAAAAAAGTTTACTACTATAATTAAAATATTTTAAAATTTAATGATCAAATTAATATGCAGACTAAAATTCAGTGAGTAGTGAGATAGTTTATCCTGATGTTGATCCATTACTCTTTTTGAAGCGTTCTTTTCTCTAGTAAGCTAACCCATCTAACGATGAGAAGGATGTCTCCAGCAGCTGTGGTTGAAGCCGCCAAGCCTGAGACTGAGGAGGTTCTTTCAAATGAGGAACCCAAGAAGTAGCTTCAGGTCTCCCCATTATTTCCCTTGTTTAATCCCTTTTTGTTTCCTTAACATATTTGTTAATATGGTATGATTTACAGAGCGAGGAGGCTGTGGTTGAAGATGTTAAGGAAGATAAGAAAGAACATGACGAAGACGATGAGGACGATGACGAAGATAAGGAAAATGATGCCCAAGGTTTCTCCCATGTTTTTTTTTTCACTTGTTGTTACTTGGTTAATTTCTTTGCTCTAGTTTCTGTATTATAGATGCTATCTTTATTTCAAATGATACTTTACGAATTAGTGGGGAAATTGCTTAACTTTTTGTGATTTGGCCTGCATATATGCATAGATCTTCAGTTTGAGTGTATTCTTTATGAAAGAGACTTATGTAAATTGTATGACTTTCTAAAATTGCATGTTTAAAATTCTGTCCTTTGATATGTTGATTTATGTTTAATGTTTTCTAACTAACGACTCCTCCTGCATGGCTTAAGCTTGCTATTCAGAATCTGGGGAATTAGATTAATTTTTATGGTTTTTGCAACCTTGTTTGCATAGTCTATTTCATGCAATACTCTATTTTGTGGATAACTGATTTTTAGTGGCAATGGATGTCATCATTTCTTTGGGCATTATATATACTTGGTGTTATTTCCTTACATTTTTTCGCTACTCGTCTTATCAAAGTTAAATGCATGGATATTTTGATGCAGCCCTTATAGTTTGCTTCGAATATTGGTTACAGATGCTAATGGAAGTTCCAAGCAAAGCACGAGTGAGAAGAAGAGTCGAAAGGCCATGTTAAAGCTCGACATGAAGCCTGTTACTGGTGTAAGCAGGGTCACCATAAAGAGAACCAAAAATGTATGACTTTCATGATTTTCTTTTCAATTCAAATACTTGAGCTACTTGATGAATAGTAATATAACTTAGTTTCTCTTGGATTCAGGTACTTTTTTTCATCTCGAAACCTGATGTCTTCAAGAGTCCGAATTCTGAGACCTATTTCATTTTTGGTGAGGCTAAGATAGAGGATTTGAGCTCTCAGCTACAGACACAAGCTGCCCAGCAGTTCAGGATGCCAGACATGGGCTCTTTGACGGCAAAACCAGACACTTCTGCAGCGGCTGCTGGAGCACCGGCTGACAAGGAAGAAGAGGAGGTTGATGAGACTGGTGTAGAGCCTAGGGACATTGACTTGGTCATGACACAGGCTGGGGTTTCAAGGACCAAAGCTGTTGAGGCTCTCAAGAGTAGCAATGGTGACATTGTGAGTGCTATTATGGAGCCTACCACTTAGGTAGTCTCTTTCATCTTATTAGTTCACCCTGGTAGATTTTCAATGAGTGTTGGAACTAGTAGTCGCAGTGGTTTAGATTACCCTTTCATTGTTTCGCTTCAAATTTAGATGATTTTCTCGGAACTCATTCAGTGTATATGCAACTGATTGTTTCCTTGCCCATTTCTATAATCAATTTTTGCAACTTGATTAAACTGTTTATTTTGCAGTAGAGAATTTGGAGCAAATGAATTCATGCATGATTTGATATTTGAGGACATTAGTGATGCAAATACAAAGAAGCAAAAGATAATGTATTTAGAAATGGGCATAAAATTTTTAATGTTGACATGACATTATCCTATGGGACATGTCAACATCACTGTAAAAATGGAACAAAGTGATATTGAGGTACTAATATTGTAGTTTACCCTAAATTTCACTAAGCTACATGTAGCTTTGTAAAATCTAACTTAAAGCTGCACATACAAAATAACGACTAGAGTTGGCTTGCTTGGATTCATCTTAATCATCTCTACTTGATGATCTTTATGATTCCGAGAAGCCCAACATCATAGCAGCTACTCATAGGTGAAGAAAAATTATTTATATTTCTCAGAGTTAAACTATGTTGACTAATTTCTTATCTTTAGTGATAAAAGTATATACTGTCAAGTGAGATGACAATGACGTGGGATGTTGTTGACACTCGAAGGTTGAGCATTTTTACAACTTTTGAGATATTAAGAAAAACGACAACTGGAACAAAATTTAATTGCAAACTGAACAAATAATTCACTTGGTGATCAACTTTTAAGCTAAAATGGCGATCTGTCGCACCATGGGAACCAAGTTTCAATTGTTTTCATATGAAAGAAGAACCGCTATGGAAATTTTGTGGGAAATTTGTGAAGTTTGTCTGTGTTTTTGTTCTGAATGGTTCCGGGTTTGCTTTTTGTTCAATTTGCAATTACCTGTCAAGCATAGAAACCCGGCAGAATGATGTTATAAAATCAGACTTCGGACAAATCAATACAATTGTTAGGTAGCAAACAAGCTGAACAAGAAAAGAAGGGTTTCATAAAATAACTTCTTTACTAGCAGTCATGTTCCAAGCAACTCCTAACAAGGCCAATCACATACAATTCTTAAGCACTATAGAATTTCACTATTTGGGATCAAACAGACGAGAGAAGGGTCAGGAAACATCACCAATAGTCTCTACAAGAACAAACTCCATCTCTATAATGGTGGAACCTTGTCCTATCCCTGACAACAATCTCCCTCCCGTACACCTTCGAAACTAACTTCATAAAAGTATGGCAGTCCTCGCAAACTCTAAGATTCTTAATTATCCGAATGCATGAATCTCTTTCCCCATTTATGAGCCCATAACAAAGTGCTAACTTCTCACTATGCCATAGAACCACCTCCTTTTTTTCTTCCTCTTCTAAGTCTACCAAAACACTACCGATATTTGGAGCATAGCCACCCGACTTTAATCGACTAACCACCTCGTCCAACGTTTTATATATCTCGTCTGCTTGTTTGTGATTTCTATCTGCCACTAAAAATTCATGCACCTCATTGTTCAATTCAATCCTACTACATCCCCTTTCCTTATATATACCTCTTTCTTTCATTAATTGCCTCAAATCCCCAACATCTTGCCACTTCCTTTCTTTGGCATAAATATTTGATAGTAGCACAAGAGCTCCATGGTGATCTGGCTTAATCTCAAGTAGCCTTTTGGCAGCAGATTCTCCTAATTCAGTCTCAGCGTGCATTCGACAAGCAGACATAAGGGATCCCCAAATGACAACATTGGGTGCAAAAGGCATTGTCTCCACAATCTCAACAGCTTCTCTCAAGAGATTAGCACGGCCAAAGAGGTCAACCATGCAACCGTAATGTTCATGTGTAGGAGTGATCATGTGTTCATTAATCATGGATGCAAAGATTTTTCGGCCCTCCTCAACCAACCCTGCATGGCTACAAGCATAAAGCACACCCACAAATGTAACTCTATTTGGCTCAACACCGGCCTCTTTCATTTTATGAAAGAAACTTAAAGCATTATTTGCATCCCCATGCATAGCAAATGCATTGATCATACTGGACCAAGATATCACATTTCTGCTTCTCATTCTCTCAAAAACATCTCTTGCTCTTTCCAAACTCCCACATTTGGCATACATATCAATGAGAGCATTATTAACAGCCAAAGCTCCTCCAAAACCGTTCTTATCAGCATATACATGTATCCATTTAGCTTTATCTAGTACACCCAGATGCGCACAAGCCGATATAACACTCAGCACGGTCACCTGATCTGGTCTTATTCCTAGAGTTTGCAGTTCATTAAAAAATCTAAGAGCCTCTTGAGGTTGATCACTCTCAGCATAACAAGATATCATTGCACTCCAACACACCAAGTCCTTCTCTACCATTTGATCAAAAATCAATCGAGCATCCAAGACTCGTCCATGTCTTGAATACCCAGAAATCATAGCCGTTGAAACAACCATGTTCTTGGGCATCATCTGGTCATACAATTGCTGAGCCATATCCATGCAACCACAACTTGTATACATCGTCACAAGAGCACACCTTAAATGAGCATCAACCACACGATCATTTTGAATAATGTAGTCATGTACTGCTTTCCCATAATCCAGATTCCCAACATGACCACAAGCAGAAAGAACACTGGAAAAAATAAAATTATCAGCTTCAATATTATCCCTCTTCATCTCCTCAAAAAGTTCCAATGCGTCATCAAAAAGTTCACTCTGACAGTAACTGTTAACAACAGAAGTCATTAAACAGAACAAAAAGATAATGTCAAAGGAAACACATTATCATATCATATTCTATTAAAATCGAATAGAATAGCAAATATAAGTTTACTTAAAGAAGTAAAATCAAAACTTTCACAGTTAATGGAAAAAAATCATCTTTAAATACTCAAAATCATTATTTACTTTACATGTAAGCACTTTGGACCAGTAATCTTCATCAAAATTACACAATTAACAAAATGAATTACTCTTTGACGTTGTTCAGAAACATGTTTTACTTAAAGTAAACGGAACAGAAAGAGGGGGACGTACCCATCTATCATAATACTCCATGCAACAACATCTCGGTAAGACATTCTATCAAACACCAACCGGGCCTCCAGGAGTCTCCTACAGCTAACATACAACCTCATGACACCCGTCTGCACAAACGGGTCTGAATCCAAACCCGACTTAAGTCCAAAGCCATGAATCTCTTTACCTTCAGCCAACCCTCCAGCCCTGGCGGCAGCCTTTAAAAGCGGAGGAAAAGCGAACCTGTCAATTGGCATCCCTTCATTCCTGAGTCTCTGGTACACCAAGAGAGCGAATTGGGGATTGGAGCTGCGAGAGAGGTGGCGGAGAAAGGGGGTGGAGAGGGGAGGGAGAGGGTTGGGGAGGTGGGAAAAGATGGAGAGAGAGTAAGGAAGGGAAGGGGAAGAGAGGAGGAGCTTGAGGAGGAGAGAATGCGAGGGAGGGTGGGTGGAACGGAGGACTTGAGCGTGGACTTGTTTGAAGTGGGTGAGGGAGAGGGGATAAGAGAGGGTTTTGAGAAGAATTGTGGGGGTTGGGATGGCTGAAGGCGAAGATATGGTGAGTTGGGAAACAGCTGACATGGAGCAGGAAGGGCTTTGTTGGGGGATTAGATTTTGAAGATGAAATGAATGCCAAGAAAGAAGAGGAGAGAAGGGACTTCAAAGAACTAACTTTCAAATTCCAGAGAAGCTGGATAAAGATAAATTCTTGGCCTTCAGAAATGTCGGAATATGGATGTCTGAGTCTAACCGTCGTGCAAATTCATGAGAACACTATTTTGAAGAGTAAATTACAAATTTTATTAGGATTATACACTTTTAGATGTTTAAATTATACATTAAATTAATTTTAATGTTTAAACATTTTTTCGTTAAAATAAATATCTGATATTTTTTACTACACTATTAAATATTTACTATTAAAAAATACGACCACAATCAACCGCATCACGCTCAGAGCAGAGAAACAACAACATATATCAACTGTAGAACTAACCTTGGATCGCAACAGAAGTTGAGCATCTACAAAATCTAGAACAGAGGGGCAGCTTGATGGTCACTTGCTATTGCACCGAAATCCAATCCTCTGTAGCACGCTTCAAATATTCGATCATCACAGTAGCTTCTGTTATTAAACATGGCATCATTCCGGCAAAGCCAATTCGTCTAAATAAAACTCGAAAAAAAAACCATTCTCCACGCGGAAGAGTCTATAGCATTTGTCGAGTATTGAAATATACCACAATTAAATTTATCTTTATTATGCAAATATTTAATGATATAAGAATTTATTTAAAATTAATCTTTAATTGATTAATTGAAGTTTAATTTTATTTTTAATAGAATTATAATTTAATTATAATTTTTTGTTAAAATATAAAAATTAATTTAAGCAATTTAATTTGTCTAGAATTAAAAAATTTTAAATTATTTAAGGGTTGAGGGTGGTCATCAGTAGCTTCACCTCGGAGTCAAAAACTTGTCGGAAAATCGTGTACAACAAATTCAACCCTGCCTTTACCCAGTTCGTTGTTGACCAGATTGTCGTTGTCCAGTTCGCCGTCACGAAGGAGCAACATAATCGATCATCTATCTGTACTGTTTACATTGTTTTTACTTTCGTTGACCTTCGAAAAATCTACTCGCGACTGTCGTCCGCCTGTCTCCAACAGCAGACTACCACACGACCACCAATATCGTTAATATCCAAACATCGTCGCGTGTAGTTCTTTTGCAAGGAACTTGTCGATCGTCTCTTTCCTTTTCACGATTTCATATTAGTTTTAGTTTAGTTTTATTTTTGAATGGTTAAATTATATTCCAATCCCCTTATTTGTGTGTTATTTAGAAAGGTTAAATTGCATGGAAAACCCTCTATAGTTTCTCTCATTTATATTTTAGCAAATAATGTTTCGGTTTTAGTGGACATGGCTAAATTACACTACCCCATAATTTTGTTTTAATGTAAATGGTCAAATTCGTAAACCCCCCCATAATTTCTCCCATTTAGATTTTAGACAAATGTATGTTTTTTGTTTTAATAGGCATGGCTAAATTACACTACTCTATACTTTTGTTTTAATTTAAATGGTCAAATTTCATACAAACCCCTCATTTTCCCCTATTTAAATTTTAGACTTCTAAGTTCTAAATCTTCTATAATTTTTATTTTAGTTTTATATTGATAAAATAATTGATTTTTATTAATATTAATATTAATTTTTAATTCTAATTAGATATTAATTGTGATTATATAATATTAATTTTGATACTTAAGTTTGACTTCCTATTAATTTTGATCACTCATATCAATTTAATATTAATTTTTTTCATTAATCTTAAATTGCAGTATATTAGCGACTATAGATGATGAGGGAAAGACTGGTAACAAGGAGATGATAAATTGTAATCTCAACGAGGATAACAAAATAGATGACCCAAAGTGAAACTTATACCGAAGAAGAACAACTTGAATCTAATGTCGATGATGGTAAACATACATCTGATGACAAGACCATCGACTACTTCATCAATGAGGATATATGGGACAAGATCATAAAGGAACTACAAGATTATGATGAAAATGACATGGATATGCTCAAGTGGAAGTCGTTGGATGATTGTGTTGAGTTCTACTATACTTATGCAAAAGTTAAAGGTTTTGGAGTTCAAATAGATTCAATAATAAGAAGATGAAGTTATGGTCACATGATTTCAAAGAAATTGGTATGTCGAAAAGATGAATTTAGGAAGGAAAAATGGAACAACTTACCTAATAGAAAACGTGAACCAAAACCAATAAGTAGAGTTGGATGTCAAGTGTTTATTAAATTCAAATTTAACGAGCAATATTAATTCTGGAAAGTTGAAAAATTTCACGCATATCATTATCATGAAATGATGAAGCCAACACAAATATCATATATCAGGTAAATAACTTTGTAATTATGTTATATTTTTGTATTATTTTTTACCTTTTTTTAAATATATTTGTAATTTGTATACCTACCGATGATTTGGCTACAGGCCCTTTAGAAAAATTAGCGAGGCAAATAAGATAAAAATTAATACCATGCACAACTTAGGAATTGCTCCAAATAGAATGATGTGAAATTTCATGAATGAAACTAGTTATCTTAAGAATGTTGGATTTATACAACTACGTACATAGGATCAAACGAGAAAAAGTACAAGATGGTGACGTTGAAACGGTGAAGACTTATCTTTATGGAAAGTAAAAACTTGATCCATTATTTTTTTGTGATCCATACGAGAGATGAACATGGAAATCTGGAGAAGTTATTCTGGTGTGATGGTATATCACATATCGATTATAAGGAATTTAGAAAAGTACTTGCATTTGGCACTATCTACAAGTGCAATGCGTACAACAAACTGTTGAGTCTTGGTTGGTGTTAATCATCACCGAAATATAGTTACATTTAGATGTGCATTGGTAGTAAATGAGAAAGAAGAAACCTATGTGTGGGTTTTAAAACAATTGATCACAAAAGGAGATGACTACAAACCATTTACTGTCATTACTAATGGAGATAAAATTATGACAAATGCCATTGCTCAATTTCTCCCAGAGACAAAACATAGATTATGTTCATGGCATCTTACGAGAAATGTCAAATCAAATGGTAATAAACAATTTCATGATGGATTTATGAGGTGTGTTGACAAATGTAGAACACCATTAGATTTTGAAAAGGCTTAAACTGAATTAGTTCATAAACATAAAATTGAAGATAGGAGGTGGGTAAAAGAATTGTACAAGACTAAAGAAAAATGAGCATAAACATATATGTGGGAATACTTTTATGCAGATGATTTTATTTATATTTAAAAAATACTTTAATTATAGTTAAATTCATTTTATATTCTTTTTTATTTATTATATTAAATGAAAATTACTAAAAAAAATTATGTGCAACAATGAGGACTACTCATTGTTATGAGTTAATGCATAAAACACTTAAAATTTTGTTGGACCAAAAGTTAATGTTGTATCGTTTCATTACATATTATCATAAGAAACTACAAGCTTTAAGGTGGGAGGAAGGTTATCAATACTACAATACAACATATGAACAACCATATTGTGATGATATATTAGTGACTTTAAAAACTCAAGCAACACAAGTATATACAAGAAGTTACTTTACTACTTTGTGTAAGAAAATATCGTATGAGGGTTATTATTTGGTCAAAGATATTATACTAGGTAATGGACGTATGTGTTATTGGAGCATGCTGAAAAGGAAAATGTATGGTATCTTGTAGTCAAGGATGTCACTCATGATATAATGTATTGTTGTTGTATTAAGTTGATTTTGTTAGATTTCCATGTAGACATATGTTTGTTGTGTTGAAATATGAAAGGCGATGAAAGGATATACGAACATTCTATACTTCGAAGCTATCTTCATCTGCTAGAAAAACTAAGGTATCCTAGCCATTTTCCCGAGCATCAACCAAGGTTAGTTTTATGTCATCATAATTGATATTGTTTCTAGTTGTACTTGTATATTAAGGTTTTTCTCACTTGTAGTCTTATTCAATGGTGATTTAGTGATGTTGGGTTCCTACTTGTTTCTAGGTATGATACTACAGGGTTAAATCAAGCTGAAAATGGATGGGTAGTATCGATACTACTAGACCAGTATCGATACTCACGAGTTAGGGTATCGATACTTGATAGGATATTGGTACCAAATTTTGCTTTGATGTTTTGAAAAATGTCTCAATATCGATACCCTTATGGGGAGTATCGATACGCTACCCACGATATGGATACTCCCATGAGTATCAACACTGAAATATTTGCTAAGTTGGCCCATTATCAATACTACCCTGCTAGTATCAAAATCAAGCCATCATTATTGATACTCCTTGAGTAAGTATCAATACTCCTCCTAATTTCTCTTATTTTTAAGCCATCTAAAGAACATATATATATTGTTCTTTCAATAACGATACTCAACCTAGAAATGCCTTATTTGGGCACAGAATTGACTACCAAAACCACCTCAAAGCCCTATAGAGACCCCCAATCATTCTTAAAGTTTTATGTATGTAAGAGAGGGTCACAATAGGTCTTTAATCATGCTGAAAACATCAATTTCTTGAACATGCCAGGAATGCTCATAAATGCTTCACAACTCAAAACTCTCTATCTAAACGCATTCTAATGACTCACAAATGATATGAAGTAGTTGTGAATGTGTTACCTTAGATTCATAGTTACTGAAAACTCTATCAAATCAACCAAGGGTCAATTTCTCCTTTCCTCTTACCTTGGAGCTTTCTCCCACTATAACACCCTAATTTGATTCGACCCAAAGTCCGGATGGTTAGCATGTCACACGAAACCACCCAAGCGGCTAACCATTTTGTTTGAAAACGTTTAACCAAAAACATCAAACATAATAAAGTACTAAAGAGAAATATGTTTATCAAAATACAAGTATGTCAAAATATGGGGGAACTTCCAACATCAGTCTCTAAAATATGTAAGTACAAAACAAAGTTTACGATTTAATTAAAAACAAGGGCTATTACAGTACATGCCTACTAAATACTTGAGACGTACTCTGATGGAAGATAGAATCTGGAAATCTTATAACTTGGCGATGAACTCCTCTGATGACACCTAAGAACCTACGCACGGAAAAATATTTCATACGCTGATCTCACAAGCTTAGTGCCACAAAAATAATGCTACTTTACTACATACATCCAACATATATGCATGCTATAAGTATGGTTATGAACATTTACATAAATTATCACAACAATAAGAGTAAGCATCATGGTGTAGCTAAAGGTCACTTAGTCTCGCGGAACTCACACCCTTTTTGCTTACTAAAGAAACTTATGTGAGACTTGGGTCACATAACATCAGTGATACTAACTAAATGTTATAGAAAAAGTGCAATCATACTCTGTCATACAAGTAATAAAGTGGTAACATAAAAGTTACAAGTGTCAAATCCTATAGGGAGAAAAACTTGTTACAAAAGAGTTATGCGTAAGAAAGAGATTGATTTGGTAATTATAAAATAGATAGTAAAGTAAATATATCAAGAATATGAGAGCAAGGGAATACTGCAACAAACAATGAAGCAATCAGACCAATGGACTTAAGATATTGTTCTACTTAGCTACTAGTAAAATGATTATACTTTAGCACTATATATTATGAGTCATGCATTTATTAACACTTAATCTAATGATTTTTAACTTTCATTAAAGTCATAGATTAATAGTTAACAAGGCATAACGTTGACTTCCTATATCTTTATACGAAATTGTTTACTCTCGTAAAACATTAATGATAGGGCATATATAACATGCTATCTTAATTACATTTATCTATAAAAAAATAATCAAGACAACATATCATAAGATATTATTTTCTCTAATAAGACATTTATTAAGAACGCATCTCATAAAATAAAGTTAAAAGAAAAAATCATCATCCAAGCATTTAATCTAACACCTTGTGTTTGATACCAAATAAAAGCAGTAAAGTTAAACATCCAACTTCACAATAACGTTTCTCCCTTCGTAAGTCAAATACACAAAAGTAAGGTTAAACCCCAATCGACCACCACTACTATACGACTAATGCAATACTGTTGGTGCACTCCTCGATGAATGGATTAGTCTACCATCATAGAGAAAAAGGTGGAGAAAATTTAGGAGATTAAGAAATTTGATGATAAAATGGTGAAGGAAGCACTCCTACTTATGGGTTGATAGAATGCACTCCCTTCCAGTTGTACTTTCTAGAATGTTCTTCATTGTTCACTTGATGAGTCACCAGATGCTACAGAACTTGCTCAACAATCTAGCACAATATCACAACATAGCATCACATGCAACTTCAATCAATGCCCCTGCATCAGAGTACTCAATTCCATCATAAAACATAAAAATTCAGCTAACATCCACCAACTTAGTCTTAGTATGCAAATGCTGAAAAATTTATAAAAACTGATCCTAATATGACCCTAATAATGCTAAAGTTCAAGCTCAACCTAGGTAAAAGGACTTCTAAATGATAACTCATTTGGAGATTAATCACACCAACAAACCTAAGTTTTTTCTTATCATCAAGCAACTACATGCATGAAAACTACAACTAAAAGCAATGCCATAGGAAAACTATCATGAAATAATTCAGAAAATCTCTTTCATTTTGTTTTTCAACCATTAGAGAAATGTTGATACACTGTATACAACAAATATGATCTCAAACCAAGGAATACAATTTCAAGTTAGCAAATTCAGAATTCATAGAGTGTAGTAGTGTGCAGGCTACGTGTATCCAATCAATACTTAGATAAGTTAGAAAAATTGTTCCTACTCAGCTTATGATTTTCAATTCTACAATAATCTATCTTGACTATGTTGGAGCTATTACTAGCATTTCCAACTTATTCCTAAATTTATTTTCGTTTTTTAAAGACAAAATTCCCTGCAACATATAATAAAGATATGAGATTTAAATTTCAAAATTTTCTAAAATCTCTAAGAATTGAGAACATACACCTAAAGTGTTCAAAGTTTTCTATGAATCCTAATTCTACTAAGTTTCTACAACATTCCTCTACCATTTTACAACATAAAGGTTTTCATCATCGGACATCATCAAAATTTGCTAAAAGAAACTAACTTTCATTGATTTCCTAATACTAACCTTCCAGCATCACAAATGGATTTCCTATATTATTTTAACAAAATATACAAACACTACTAAACATGCAGTCCTAAACAAAACACAACCAAATGACAAAATAAAATTCAACAAACAATACACCCTCAAATCTAAGGGATGCATTATCCTCGATGCATGTTAAAAAAATGAGAAAAATGCAATGAGAAATGGAGAACAAAACTCCCTTAAGTTGGTTTGCGTGGGTTTTTTCTTGGGTTGATGGTGCTTGGGCAGACTCTCTTGACAGTGACCTTAAATTTTGAAGAACTCTTTCTCTTTTGGCTCATCGACGTTGTCGTAGCTTTGGACATAACAACATTAGGAATGAGAGTAGCTGCTGCTGTTACAACATCCTTCAATTTTGTTGTAGGGTTTTTAACTTTGGGCTCCTCCTTTGTTTCTTTAGTGCTGCTGTTAACTTCCTAAAAAGGCTATTTTTAAGGCCTTTTTCACTTAAGTTGTTGTTTGTTTAAAAGCTCATTTTAGGCATTTTAGGATCATGTAGTTGCATATAGTTACATTTGTGGTGATAGTTCTATTTTATTTCTTAATGATGCTACTTGAGGGAGAGGTGCAGTTTGTCTGTGGTGTGCAGGGAATAGCAAGTAAAAAGGACTAGATGGGAAGTAATGCAGCGACATCACACGTTGCTGAAGCAGATTGAAATGCCTTGGCATTTCTGGCACAGAAAACGAAAAAAAGATATAGATGTACGAGGACAGCTGGCTCTGCACTTGAAATGATTGTTGTAACCGCCTTCCAGAGTTGCTATGGGACCACTGCCACCTGGAGGACAAGGTTAACGCACTACATGTGATTATAGGGGTATGAGGGGTATTTTGCACCCAACAACCTCATCATTACCCCTAGATATTTTTATTATATATTACACCTCAAGGGAGTCACTACAAGATGTGAAGAGGCACACGCATAGAGCATAAAAAATCATATTTTTATTTTCCTTTTCCTTTTCTTCTTCATTGGGTTTTCCTCCATTGATAAAGCTCCAAGCATTGGCAAGCTAGGTGCTGAGAGGAGCTAGCGAGCTAAGGTGGTTCGTGGTGGCCGAGGAGACCTCCGGTGGCTCGTCGAAGGCTACTTCTTACTTTCCTTTTTGCTACTATTTTTATATTTATTTGTGGGTTGTTGGAACGAATATTTGCATGACTTTGTGTTTGGATATTTCGAACCCCCCATGAACTAACTTATTTGGTGGTGGTTGGTTTAATGGATATTTAGACTTTATTTTAATGGTATATTTAAGTTTATTTTGGTTCTTTATTTGCTTTGCTAATGAATGCTTCACCATCTAGGCTTGTAAGAGGCATGGAAATACCCATTTCTTAGATGAAGTTTAGGTATTCAGGAGAAACCTAAGCTAAAAATACTTGTAAGTATTCGAGAGAACCGCAAGACAAGATCCTCATAAGCAATGGGTTATAGTATTTTCAAGGGGCTTTGAACCGGCCTAGGAATATTATAACCTAATCCCTTAGATCTCGGGAGAGACTAGAATAGGATTTCAACGATTAAAAAGGGTGTCTTTATCAATAGGGTAGGCTGTCCAACATCGTTGAGTGAGAGCAGATGCCTTGGCATCCTATTCTGTTAGGTTCTTTTGAGAACATTTTAGGAAAGCCCTGTCGAACAAGTAAAGATTAGATAGCTTAAATATACCCGAGGAATAAGTTTAGCATCCTTAAATCAATCCCTATCATTCATTCCATTGGAAGCTTGTCACGTGAGGATTATATTCTTTTCATTTTATTTGTTGTTTATTTAGTGTTTATTTACCATTTTTCATTGCCTCGATATTGTACCGTTTTCAACACTAAACATCTTATCTTGCCACTGCATTTCCATCCACTACACCATCAGACCATTCATCTGTATCCATCAGCATACACATTTTCATTTGCCGTGACATTTGTATATATAAACACTAACTATACATAGATAGATTAATACATAGCTTTGGTTAGACTTTTGTAATTTTGCCCAACCCTATAGAGATGATAGTCACTCATCATTATATTACTTGAGTGATTGTGCATACTTGCACATTATCTGTATATATTTTATAGTACTCACACACGCGGACATCTGCCAACGAGTTCAACGGTAGAGTCTTTAGGTAGATTGTTGTCAGCTGATGCATCACCTTCAGTAATGACGCTACTGATTATCTGGACAACATCAAGATCTTGTTATTTTGGTACTACAACATCCTTATCACCATGTCATAATTTAATTCCAATAATTCTTGTGCTACTTGCTCCTCCTTACTTCAGCATCAGTAACAGGTTCACTGAATGTCTTCAGAGTCGGCAGTAAGGACATCAGTAGATACCATCAAATCAATCATGTCATCCTCATCTTCCTCATCTTTTTTATCAAAAACATTGTATTCTTCCTCATCTTTTGTTATTGCATCATTCTCTTCAGCATCGTCCTCATGTTCCCCATCAGAGCTGACAGAGCTTGCTGCATTATTTGGTATAACTAGTGGGGCTAAGTCTTTTAGCACTAACGTCGGGAAAGCAGGGAATGTAACTTCTATCTTCTTGAATTGCTTGCTGATAATTTTTTGAATTGCTTTGTCACGATTATTGTCATATTGTCAATATTGCACTTAGGCATTGTGCATTTAAGACTAGTTTTACAGCACGTCACTCAACATTGATAGGATGTTATCTTGCTTGGCTTCTATCGATGCCATGGCATTTTGTAATTCCAGCATAACAGGATTTACTGGTGGCATTGTTTTATGATCAACATTAGCAACGAGTTCACTGAATATCTCCTCTTTATGATGTTCAAAGTCTGGTCATTTGATCAAACCTATTCTAATAGAAGTTGGATTGAGATAAATCTGATCAGAAGATAATGTTGGCGCTTATGCTTGTTGGCACATTGAAGTGATTAGTGAGGAAAAAAATAAGTATCCTGAAGTTTTCTTAGCACATGAAAAAAGTTCAATCGAGATGATTTTACCAACATCAATATGTCGTCTAACCAAAATAGAGTGTTGCAATAATGGTTTATCTTTAGAAATCGAAGAGGAATGCATAATAGGTATCAAACGGGTTCGAAGAAAAGTAAACCATACCCTTGCTGGTTTGTTAAGATGCAACCTTTTTCATTGTGTTTCATTGTGTATACTCCTACCAGTGATATATCCCAAGATTTCTTAGTACACAAACATCAATGCCAACTTGTTCAAAATCAACATTGGCCATATTATTGACGAATTTTGTATGCTCACAGGCAGCATTCGTAATACCCAACAATGAGTTTATTGGCTTCGCCAACCAATGGACTAACTTGTTTTTAACAAAAACCATTAGCTTCTTCTCTTCAGTGAGGTTACTATAAATTCCCATACTAGCTCTTGAGAGATGTTCACTGGATGCTCACAAAACTTCTCCCAACGGAGTGTAGAAATGATGTCCTTGATGTAATCAACTTGATACAAATCTTCGATTGAGGATAGATCGAACCCTTGTTCAAAACAAAAATACCTATAAAAAAATTCCTCTTTATAGCATTGTTGTTACTTGTGCTTCACAAACTTGATCGAACCTTCACCGAAAATCATCAATTGTTGCGACTCTCTCAGCGGTGGAGTAGGTAGCCAATGAAAACCTTTAGGTGCACTCTTATTCATGGGTGCCATGAAAATCACTTGGATGAAGGAAGGAAAATAAGAAAAAATGAACACTTTGTGGGTTTCGGAAGAAGAACGATCAAGGAAAAAATAATATTATGGTAAAATATGTATGAAGGTTGATTTTGAGGGAAATGTAATAAAGGAATAAAATTAAAAATTAAAAAGTTTGAAAAAGATAAGGATAAAAAGTTTGAATGAAGGGTGTTAATTAGATGAGGTGACGGTGATGATGTAGTGGGGGAGAATATGGGGTATAACTCACACATTTTTACCGCCCAAAATTTATCTTAGCCAATTGTCAGATTTACAGCTATGGAAGCAATAAATAACACTCAAAATTGATCCAAATACTGAACAACAATCGTCAAAGATAAACAAAGAAGATGGATGCCTAGCTATAACAGGGACTTGTACAGAAAACAACCAAAATTAAAATGAATGCAATATACAAAAACTAACTAATGTAAAAAAAATTGACTTATTAGATGTTATAAGAATAGTCAAAGAGTGATAGGTTCTCTTAATGTGATGGAAGAAATGTGTAGGCTTTGTTGTTGGTAATAAGGCTTCAAACGTTGCCCATTAACTTTGAATGCACTTCTATCCACTAAGTTATTTATCATATCATCACCATGAGGAAAAACTTCAATGACTTCAAATAGACAATACCATCGAGATTTTAGCTTCCCAGGGAAAAGTTTTAGGCGAGAGTTAAATAACAATACATGCTATCTAGATCGAATTACTTGACAAGATATGCTTGTCATGCATCTTTTAATCTTGGCCTTGTAAATTTATGCACTCTCGTAAGCATTGTTTTGCATCTTTTCTAACTCCTTGATGTCTAGCATCATTTTTTTCACCAGTAACATCTAGATTAAATTCAACTGCTTCAAATCCCACATGTTTTTGTGCTCCAACTCTACTGGTAAATGGAAAGGTGTTCCATACACTATGAAATAATGAGACATTCCTAGTGGAGTTTTGTATGTTGTCTTACTAGCCCATAATGCATCCTCAAGATTTAGAGACCAATACTTTCGAGAAGGGTTAACAACATTTTCGAGAATTTGCTTGATTTCACTGTTAGAAACTTCAACTTGGTCGTTAGTCTACAGATGATATGTTTTAGCAATTTAACGCTTCACCCCATACTGATTTAATGCTCTAGTAGCTTGTGTGCTAATGAACTAAGATCATTTATCACTGAAAAATGCTCATAGAGTTCCAAAACGAGTAAAAATGGTTTTGTGAAGAAACCTTATAACTGCTTTATCATTGCAGGTGGATAATGCCATAACTTCTATACATTTAGAAACATAGTCAACAACAACCAAAATAAAGAGTTTTCCACATGACGAAGGATATGGTCTCATGAAATCCATCCTCCAAACATCAAAATGTTCAATTTCCAAAATAAGTTGCATTGGTATTTCATTGCGACGAGAAATGCTACATGTTCGTTGGCATCGATCACATTACTTGACAAAATCATTGGCATCCTTGAACAACGATGCCCAATAATAGCTACGTTGAAGGACCTTTTCTATAGTTCATATTCCTTTAAAATGTTTTTTCATAAGGAGTGATGTGGTGCTGATGCAAAATTCTTTACTGCTCACATTCTGGGAAACATCTTCTCAGTATTATTTGAAAATGTATGGCTTCTCCTAATGGTAAGCACAAACATCTCTTAAAAACTTTTTCTTCCTTTGTAATTAAGATCAAGTGATAGCAATCTACTTACCCAATAGTTGACGAAGTCCACGTACCAAGGTAAGACTTCTACAACAAGTGATTGCTCATCAGGAAAGTTATCTTGAATTGCTAGCATTTTTCCATCCTCATTTCCAACTTCTAATCGTGACAAATGATCAACCACTTTATTCTTGGATCCCTTATTGTCTCTTAATTCAATTTCAAACTCTTGAAGTATCAATACCCATCACATTAACCACGACTTAGTATCCCTCTTGGCAAATAAATTCTTCAAAATTGAATGATTGGTGTACATAATTACCTTAGTTCCAACCATATAAGAGAGAAATTTGTCAAAGTAAAGCACCACAATAAGTATTTCCTTTTAAGTTGTGGTGTAATTAATCTAGCCAATATTCAAAGTTTGACTGACATAGTATATAGCATGGAAGACTTTTTATCTCCTTTTCCCCAGCACTAATCTGACATCTTTTTTTTAACTGCCAGCAACAAATAAAATAGATATATGAGCTTAAATGGTTAAATGGGCAATGCCAATCTGGTGCTATAACTATATGAGCAATGAATAACTTCCGTTTGATTGTTTCAAATGATTTCATCACTTCATCATCAATCAAAAATTTCATATTATGCTCCAACAATGAGCATAATGGTCTAGCAAGTTGGGAGAAATCCTTGATGAATATTCGATAAAAGCCAACATGTCCTAAGAAACTCCTAACTAATTTCACATTGGTTGGAGGTGATAGCTTTTCAATAACATCCAATTTGTCCTTCTCTATTTCAATGCCAAGAGTGGAAATGTGATGCCCCAACATTATACCTTCAGTCACCATGAAGTGAAATTTTTTCCGATTCAAAACCAAGTTGGTTTCTTCATATATTTTTAACACAAAAGCTAGATGATTGATGCATTGATCAAAATCTTACCTAAAAATAGAAAAATCATACATGAATACCTCCAAGTAATCTTCAAACATTTCGGAGAATATTTCCATCATGCAACGTTGAAACGTTGCTTGGGCATTGCACAAACCAACGACATTCTTCAGAAAGAAAAAAATATCATAAGGGCAAGTGAAAGTAGTTTTCTATTGGTTCTCAAGTGCTATAACTATTTGGTTATAGCCACTATACCCATCTAAGAAACAATAGAAAGCTTTTTTGGCTAAACGATCCAACATTTGATCTATAAATGACAACGAGAAGTGATCATTCCTTGTAGCTTTGTTGAGCTTTCTATAGTCCATGCAGATTCTCTAGCTAGTAGTAGTCCTTGTTGACACTAACTCATTTTTTTGTTATTTGTCACCACAGTAATGTTGCCTTTATTTGGAACGTACTTATCGGGCTAACCAATTACTATTCGAGATTGGGTATATGACTCCAGCATCCAACCACTTTATGATCTCCTTTTGAACAACTTCTTTCATGATAAGATTTAATCCCATTTGTTGCTTGACTGGACTGATGTTGGGATCTTCTAGTAAAATTTTATGCATACAAAATATTGGACTAATGCCTTTAATATCAGCGATGTTCTAGACAATTACTCACTTGTGATCCTTTAGTACAATGATCAGCTTAACTTTTTGTAATGCTTTAAGATTTGCTGCAATAATAATTGGTAAAGTATCATTATCCCTGAGATAAACATACTTCAAATTCTCGGGTAAAGGCTTTAATTCTAAGTCACGTGGTTCTTCAATTGAGGTTTTAAGAGCATGAATAGGACGATAAATGAGTTCTAATTATTCAAAATATTGTATATAATTTCCTTCAGCTCCCTGATCCTCAACTATCTCTTCAATTGTTGCTATAGTGCTGACAACATCATGGATGTTGTGGAATTCATGTCAATGCTCCTATACAAACACATCAATAACATCAACTGAAAAGAATCCAACATTATTATCAATATATGAAACATTATTCAAAACATTAAAAGTAATATACTCATCATTCAATCGCATACTAAGTTCCCCCTTTTCTACATCGATCAAAACTCCGTCGATAACAAGGAATGGGTGGCCAAGTATGATGAGAACATCTTTGTCTGCTTCACAATCTAAAATGATGAAGTCTGTGGGAAAATGAACTTGTCTACTTAAACCAACATATTTTCTATAATGCCACTAGGATGTATGGTTGATTTATCATCAAGTTGCAAACTGACAGTGCTAGATCTTGTTTCTCCACTTCCAAATTTCCTAAAATTTGACAATGTCATTAGATTAATGATAACATCCAAATCACATGAAGCTTTTCCTACAAATTTATCACTAATAATGCAAGGATGAGTAAAACTCCCTGGATCTTTAAGTTTAATTGGTATTTGGCTTGTGGTTGTAGCACTACATCCCTCGGCAAGTGCAACAATATCAAATTCTCCGAGCCTTATCTTCTTGGAAAGAACTTCCTTCATGAATTTGATGTAATTTGGATTTTTATCCATTGCCTTAATCAACATAATGTTGATTTTAAATTGTCAAAGCACATCTATGAATGCTCGGTATTATTGATCTTCCTTAGTTTTCTTGATTCTTTAAGGAGAATGAGGAGGCATCATTTTTTGTGGTTGCTATGATATTGGCTTTAGAGAGGTATCTGACTGTGTGGTAGGCATTAGTCCAGGCTTACTACACTGTCCTGCTTCTCTTGCTGTAACATTCACAGTGGGTGTTTCAAGATCAACTTCTATGCTCTTACCCTTGTTATTCTTTGTAGCCCCTTCATCATTCTTCTTTGGATCTTCAATAAGTTTTCCAATAGAGGCCACTTCGAGTAGTAATGGACTTTCAATGCTCATTGTATTGAGCTTTCCCTTGCTTCTTTGGATTCCCGGTATCGTTGGGTAGCATTCCTTGTAATCTATTGCTCAAGGCATTCGTCATTTGGCCAACTTGGTTTCTAAAGCCCTTAATAATGCTAATTGACTTGCCATGTACTCATTCATTAAGTCTTCAAGATATGATAGATTGGAGGTTTGTGTTATGGATTAGCCTTGATAGTTTTTCCTTTGTTGTGATTGTGTAGCCTGATGTTGTATTTGAGGCTGTGGTATTTCTTGATGCTGATTGTACTGATGTGGTTGATTATAATGATGCTGCTGAGGGTTCTTAACATTTTGGATCCTCCAAGACAAATTGGAATGGTTTCGAAAGTTGACTTTACAAGTGTTGCCATATGAATTATCATTCATATTGTAATTCCTCACCTAGAAAATATACTCGGGGTTTTGAGGGCATTCTCCATAGTTGTGATTATCTCTAAGACAAACACAAGAAACACTATAAGCAATTTTTACCTCATAGATTCCCCATGTCTTTTGTAGGTTTTTCACCACATCCTTCAATATTGAGATTTGGGAGGCCATAGAATTGAAAGCATCTAAATCTACTACTGCAACATTGCGTCTACCAAACATGTTTATCATGTTGGGGTATTGGTAGTCATTGGTTGATATTCTCTCCATAATATCATAGGTTTCATTGTACGTCTTATCTAGTAATGCCCCATTTTTTGAAGTATCAACCACCATTTATGTCAAATGTGAAAATATGTGTATTGGATATTTTCGCAGTAAGTCCTTGAATCTTTCCCATACCTCGTACATGCTCTCATCTTCTAACTATTTGAAGGAAGTGAGGTCATTCCGAAGTTTGGAATTCTTGTTAGAGTGTGTTGAATTACAACAAAAACTTTTGTGCTAACTCGTTCCACGATACTATAGCACCAGGTTGCAGCAATGTCAACCATGCTCTAGATTTATCTCTCAGTAAATAAGGGAACATCTTTAGCTTTAATGCCTCTTTAGGAACTCATTGTTAAACAAATAAATCAAAAACTTCCATGAAAGATTAAATATGTGCTCAAGGATCTTCAGTAAATGAACCACTATATTGTCCCATGGACTACAGCATTTGAAACATAACTCTTTATCTCGAAATTCGCAACATGAATTACTGGTCGCACAATGACAGGATGTAGGTCATCAAGTGTTGGGACCACGTGCTCTTGAATAGGGAGATCACAGTCTTCTATATTGTAAAATTTTTGTGGTCCAAATCCATTACCAGCCGACAATTCTTCATCATCTCCATGCTATAGAGGAGGTAGAGCATTATTATCTTGCATAGTTATGTGTTCTCAGGTAGCTTCTCTTCGATGATGAAAAAATGTTTATTCTATTTCCGAATTGAATGGCTCTAGCTCATTGTTGACACGATACACAAAATAGTAAAACTAATAAAAATGAAAAAATGCCTACAAAAAGAAAAGAAACACATAAGTAAATAATAAAACAAACTCTAATGTAAAACCAATGCTCCCTGGAAACGGTGCCAAAAACTTGATGCTAAGTAAATGCGATAGTAAAAGTGCAAGCATACATTGTCATACAATTAATAAAGTGGTAACATAAAAGTTACGAGTGTAAAATGGCACATGGAGCAAAACTTGTTACAAAAGAGTTTGTGTACGAAAGAGATTGATTTGGTGATCATCAAATTGATAGCAAAGTAAAGATACCAAGATGATGAGAGTAGGGAAATGTTGCAGCAAACAAGGAAGCAATCAGAACAATGGACCTAAGACGTTGTTCTACTTGGCTGCTAGTAAAATGATTATGCTTTAGCACTATATATTATGAGTCATGCAACGATTAATATTTCATCTAATGATTTTTAACTCTCATTAAAGCAATAGATTAATAGTTAACTAGGCATAACATTGACTTCCTATATCTCTATACAAAATTGTTTACTCTCGTAAAACATCAATGTTGTGGAATAGATATCAGGCAATCTTAATTACATTTATCTTGAAAAATAATCAAGATAATGTATCATAAAATGCTATTATCTCTAATAATACATCTATTAAGAACACAACCTATAAAATAATGTTTAAAGCAAAAATAATATTATAAGCATAACACCTTATGTTTGATACTAAATAAAAATAGTAAATTTAAACATCCAACTTCATAATATTGTTTCTCCCTTTTCAAGTCGAATACACAAAGCAAGGTTAAATCCCAATCGATCACTGCTACTACACGGTTACTCCAATGTTGTTGGTGCACTCCTCGACTAATGGATTAGGCTATCATCGTGGATAAAAAGGTGGAGAAAATTTAAGATATGAGGGAATTGACTCTCAACTAATGATTTTTCTCCACATTTTTGGTGATTCTAGAGCCCTTGATAGTTCATCTTCTAGATGTACATTCAAAAAGGTTCTCCATTCTTCACCTAGTGAGTAATCAAATGATGCATATCCTACTTAGCAATCTGGCACAACATCACAACATAGAATCGCATATAGTTTCAATTAATACCCAGCATCAACGTATCCAATTCCATCATAAAACATAAAAATTCAGCCAATATCCACCAACTTAGTCTCATTATGCAAATGATGAAAAAATTATAAAAAATGATCCTAATATGACCCTAATAATGCTAAAGTTCAAACTCAACATAGGTAAAAATACTTATAAATGAGAAATATTTTGGAGAGTTATCAATCAGAGTCTCCCTATACTTCGAGTTAGGTCTGAGTCATATAACGTCTACACTTTACCTGACTAGTCTACTCCTCTAGAGTATTTGGGAAGTGTTTGAGTCACTTAGCATCGAAACAACATCTAACTAGCATTTTAAGTGCTCAACCACCAGATTGGATATATCTAGATAATCCTCATTCTACCACACAATCATCATACAAGTGACTCGGTGTCCTCGTCGTTTCCTGAGCATCATACAAAGGCATAAGTCCCATTGAATATTAGCTCATTAAGATATTATATTATCACACAATTCATTAGGGTGTTCCACTTGTAAGCTTATTAGAAAGTTTCTCTTATTGAACCCTTTGGTTTCCCTTTTCAATTTTGAGGTAAACTTATAGCTCAAACATTCACAATGGTATCGATACTCCTCTCTGGGTATCAGTACTCCCCCATGTGGTATCGATACTTCCCCAAGTATCAACACCAAATTTATATTCGATATTTTAAAATATCTCTCAGTAGCTATACTTGCCTAGGAGTATCGATACTCCTCCTCCTGGGTATTGATACTCCCTTGAGAATATATACCAAAATTATCTTTGATGTTTTGAAAAATACCTCGGTATCCATACCCTTATGGGGCATATTGATACTCTACCCTAGGTATCGATACTTCCATGAGTATCGATACCAAAATTGGATTTGATGTTTCTGATCAAGGCCCTGAGTATCGATACTAAGCCCCGAGTATCGATACTTTTTCTTAAGTATCAATACCATTTAAGCAATATCGATACTCCTTGATGGGGTATCAATACTCTCCTTACAAACCCTTTGAATTTTTCCTTTACACGATCAATAGTTTGATACTATTCTTACAATACTGATACCCTCTTCCTAGAAAACTTTGTTTAATTCATTTAAAATCCTCCAATTCGTTCCTAAAGTGTCCCCAAGCCCTCAAATGGTTTTTAAAGCTTATTTAATACTTAATGAACATGAAAGGCCATTATTTTACTCATGAATAACAACAAATCTCGTTTTCGTGCATTTAAACCCCCAAGTTGCACACAAATGGCTCATACACCCAAACATACATCAAAACTACACATGCTAATCTACTAGTAGTAAAGAAATGTTAGAAGTGTGTTACCTTATATCTAGAGACTGAAGAAACAACCCAAGGTTCACCCAATCACTTCTTTCTCCTTGCCCTTCACTTTAGAGCTTTCTCCAACTTCTCTCACTAACCAAAAGCAGTTGAAAGGATAACTAACTTACTTGGAGACTTTAAAAGAGTAAAAACATTATTATAAACTCTTTGGGATGGATTTGGAACACCCAAGAGTCCTAGAACCTAAAACTCCTACCATGGCCTATATGAGCAAACCTTGATATTAAGATCTCAAAAGAAAGCTCTAAGGGAGAAGATATCTAATCTTAGCTTTACGAATTTGGGCTAGGGGAAAGGATCATAAAGTTGTTTCCTTTGATGGCTTTCAATATAGAGAAATAGAAAAGAAAGGGGTATGGAGAAGACAAGGAAAGATGAAGAAAAAGAGGATCCTGCATGTTTACATCACCAAGTTTTAATAAATTTTCAACCTTAAAAAAAGACACCCTTCCTAGATTTAAACGGGCTTAACTTAAGCCCAAACTATCCCACAAATGGGTATGGGTTTCTCACAAGCCTAATGGGGTTTATTGAAATCTCTTTCGGGTTAGCCCAAACTCCTAACCTGGAAATCAGGGTGTTATAACTCTGCACTTCTAAGAAAAAATTTCGTCCTTGAAATTTTCCTAAGTAGAAGAGATGATGATACTGAAGTTGCATATCTTCTTATGTCTCCTAGGTTGCTTCTTTCACACCATGGTTCTTCCACAATACTTTCACTAACAGAACCCGCTTGTTTCTCAATTCCTTGACCTACCGATCTAGA